TACTTTACTTTACTTTACTTTACTTTACTTTACTTAATCCTTCCTCTGGTATCGTTAGATGTATGAGGGGATGTACAATTTTCGACCAAGGACTAGCTGGGTGGCTTCTTGAATCCGGGTTCTTTTGTTGATATGTTATTCTTTTGGAGGACCTATTTATCACCATCCAGCCAAGTTTTGCGTGATCTGCCCCTGCCATTGTATCCTGACCTTTTGAGTTGTAAGTTCGTGCAACTGATTGATTCGGTGATATTTTGATCCGACGAGAATGGTGAAATTGCATAGGTTTGACGAACCTATCAACATTATTAGGTTATTTATTAGATGAGAACTCCTAGTTTAGCGTCCATCTCCGAAAGGACCGAGCCAAATGAGAAATTCGAGTAAAGTGCCTTTCCCCAAGGATACAACGTCTGACCGAGCTGAGGCTCGAACCCCTGAACCCGCAATCTCACGGTACGAGTCTGATAGCCTAACCACTAAACCACTTACGCCTCCTCATCGGATGACTTAACCACTTAATTCTTTGAGGTTCTTTGTGTTCCATAACTTGTTTTATCCCTGTTGAATTTCGGACAGTTTCGCTCATTATGCAGTCTTTTCTAGTTGCGTTATTTAATTTAATTTAATTTTCTGAAGCATTCTATATCAAAGGCAAAGATCCCCCCTCCCCCTCTAAAAACAACTAGCCAAAGCGCTTCCCTGACTCTGTGTGATTTTCCAGGTTTGTGGAGTCTCAGAACGAGCCCAGCAGCGACCCCGTGGTCCTGTGGCTCAATGGCGGGCCCGGATGTAGCTCTCTCTTTGGCCTCCTTCAGGAAAACGGCCCGTTTACCATACAGCCGGACGGCAAGACGCTGGTGGCCAACCCGTCTAGCTGGAACACTCTCACCAACGTTATCTACCTAGAGGCCCCGGCCGGAGTCGGCTATTCCTACTCCAAAGACAAAGATTATAGGACGGACGACGACGACACTTCTCTAAATAACTTAGTGGCCATGGTCGATTTCTTTAGGAAGTTTCCAGAATACAAGAAGAACGACTTTTATATCACTGGCGAGAGTTATGGAGGAATCTACGTACCGCTCCTGGCGTTGAGAGTGGTTGAGAACAGAACGATCAACCTTAAGGGCTTTGCTATCGGTAACGGGTTATCTGATGTGAAGCTGAATGATAATTCGGTTAATTTCCTCACCTACTACCACGGCATCGTGGGGTCGGAACTGTGGGATAAAACACTAAAGGATTGCTGCAAAGGTCTTCCCAATGATAAATGAGACTTTGACAAGCAAAGGAAAGTTGACAAGGACTGCCAAAAGGATCTATCAGAGATCCAAAAAGCCATGTGGGAATCAGGCCTGGACCCGTATAACATCTACGCCAAACGCGCTGGAGGTGTGAACACCACAAGCAAGCTGAATATTTCGTCAAGACGGGACTGGTGGCCACTTTTAGGTGACAAAGACAACAGTTACCAAGGAACCACACATTCCTTCTCAGATGAATCCGTGCTTGTTACATATATGAATAGGCCAGACGTGAAGAAAGCTCTTCATGTCCCTCCCGGTCTTCCGAACTGGGTTCTTTGCAGCAACTTGCCATATACACGAATCTATGACACGATGAAGGACATATATCAGATGTTGCACGGAATGATGCACATAATGGTGTACAACGGAGACCTTGATATGGTGTGCAACTATCTCGGAGACGAATGGTTTGTGGAATCCTTCGGTCTTGCAAAAGCTGGAGCAAGGAAGCCTTGGTTGTATCCTGACTCAGACAGCACAAAGCAAGTCGGAGGTTTTAGAAAGGACTACAGCGGTAACGTCAGGCTGGTCACTGTGACCAACCAAGGAAAGCTTTGCAAATGTTCTCAGACTTTATCAGAAATAATTAATAACTCATTAACAGGGTCTTTGATTAAGCTGTTGGTCAATGAAAATAGTTGCTTGGAAATCCTTTTGCTATCCGCTTCAGTTTCTTCAAAGATGTAATGATTGATATATTAAGTAAATATTTACATTTTGGTATTTAAAAAAAAACGTGTTTAACTTTACTTGGGTTCGCTTATTGGGTGGTTGTCTGTTACTATGGTGTGGTTTGTTCTATTTTTCATTCCTATCAAACATCTATCGTCTTTACCACGTCTACTTTTTTGTATGACACTCTCAACTAACGTCACCGATCTTGGGCACTTAAGCTACCCATATGTGTTGCAAACGCCGTAAAATTATTACCGAAAACAAAAAATAAAAACTCTGGTTAGTCACTATCTGTATCTATATATAATATTATATTTGTAAAAGTCGTCACTTTGGTCACTTAAAACTTTTGAACAACTTAACTTTCGAATTTGAACAAAAACAAATGTGGCTCAGAACCATTTAAAGGGTGCACAGTTACATTAAAGAATCTGAAGTCATTCTAGTTTAATTTTCAGTTTTTCATTAATTTCGTTTAGATCTAATCTTGGGAAAGTCCGTCTTCTAAGACGCCATTGCAAACAAGTGAAGCTTCCGTTCACAAGTAATGCGCACTGACCACATCGACTTGGCGATCGGATCTTTGGAGTCCGTTCATCGAACGGGTACCCAGCTAGTATCTGTATAATATTCTTCTTCTTCCAGAACTGCAAATTGATTCCTGCTACGTAGTGTCCCGTCAGCGTGATCAGGTCAAACGTACACAGCTTGATCCACACGTAGAAAGCACACCAGTGGGGTTTTCTGTGAACTTGATTTCTGTACTGCATAGTATTGGTGTTCTTCTGAATTGTTCTTCCATGTGTACGTTAGACAACATACGAAGCAAATGGTGACTCAAATGGCGAATTAAAAATGACGGGTGGTTGGCGGGTGGTCTGGTGTGGTTTGCTCCTCCTTTCATATATAACATCTTTTGTCCATATCTCTCCTCAACCAAATAAACACAGCTACCTCAGAATAACAAAGTTTTATCTGGCATTTTTGGCCGTTTCGAGTTATCAAAACCATCAAGTCAGAAATTAATTGTTCTCTCTGCTATATTAAAATCGTAAAAGAATGTTCGGAGTCGTTATCAAAATTATTCAAAGAATTGCATTCGAAAAAAGCTTGAGATATTGTGAAATTAAAAACATTTTGACGTCAAATTTCTCAAAACTAGATCTAGGTATCGAGCAGGCAAAACTTTGTGATTCTGAGGTAGCGATAGCAAAGATAGTACATAACAAAATGGTCCACTCAGCCAAAAAAGCGTCCCCCGGAAGTCCGCTCTTTCCTTCAGATGGCCTGCGGTCTGTTTTGAAGCTCTCTTTCGTTTCTCCAGAAGAAAAATAGGAATAACACCTTGTGTGCGCAGATCGACTGCTGTTCATCAGCTGTTACGGTTCGTTCAGTGCGGAGTTTTCGTTTTAAAAAATATTTTAATGACCTCTCGCCTCTCATTCTCAAGTCAAATTAAACGAAGAAAACAGAGGTTTTTTGTCAGCGTAACAATTTAAAAAAAAGTGTTCTTCCGAAACTTGAATTCTTATTTATTAAAAAACTTGTTAGTTTCACTTTGATTTTTTAAACACAAGTAGGGCAACTCTGTTCGCAAAGGGTGCCCTTTTGCGAAGAGGGCGCATCCGAATTTTGAGGACACTTTTTTAAATTGACTCAAAGAGAGGAGTTGACCCTCTTGTTATGTAGACTCTTTGGCGATAGTAGTCTGCTGACAAGCGCATGACAGTGCACAAGCCAGAGTACAATGATTAAAGACACAAAATTATATCAACGTGATGCGACAGTCGAAAGTAGTGCTGTAGTTTTAACGAAAACATAAAGAAAATATTATGTGTTAGACTGCAGTTCACGACCACATTCAGGACAGAATGAGATGAGAAGAGAGTTACAACCCCCCCCCCCCCCAAAAAAAAAAAAAAGCAGAAAAAACCACAACCCGAAATTAGGGTAAAAAAAGATCACTCGGAAAAACGCCTGGAATACAATAGCAGTCTGCTGACAAGCACATGATGGTACAATGTACTTCCAGCGAGAGTGCAATGATAAAATGCGCTATATCAACGTATTGTTACAGACGAAAGTAGTGCCGTAGTTCTACTCAAAAACATAAAGATAATACATGTATGTATAAACTTATAAGACTACTGTTCACGACCACACTCTGGATGGATCGAGGTAAGAGGAGAGTTACAGACGAGGGATAGTCGTCTGCCTGCTTGCCGAAAGCTGAGAATTCGAATAAACATGTTGGGGAGTGTGAAAGAGCTGGTGCTGCTCTTGACCGCTGTGACGTCAGCGCTTGTGTCCAGCGCGCCTTCCAAAGATCAGATCCAGCACCTTCCAGGTCTTGCTCAACAGCCGACGTTCAAACAGTACTCGGGCTATCTCTCCGCTCTGGGGACCAAACAGTTGCACTATTGGTGAGTTGTTAACACATATCTATAGGCCAATGTATTGAAACGGGTCTACCAAACAAACCGACAAAATAGTAATGAATTATTAAGGCTCATATATGTTGACACATATCGAAATGAAACAAAACAATAAACGAAAAAAGATAACCAATTAATCAATCAATCTATCTATCTATCTATCTATCTATCTATCTATCTATCTATCTATCTATCTATCTACCTATCTATCTATCTATCTATCTATCTTTCAATTGATAGATGGATGGATCGATCGATCCCAAATATGATAACTTAAGTATATTATCATGCAAATAAATATTTTGGGTTGAGGGTAGTGGAGTACAAAAAACGTATCTGTGCGTCCAAGAAAAGCTCTCGCTCAGTTCGAAATGTGGCTTCCTCATGCTTATATCATAATAGTCTCTTTTCATGAAACTGAGTTTGTGAGAATAACTCCCATTCCACGATGAATGCTTGTTTTATAAGCCATGCCTTTCCCCTGGCAGTTGGAAGGCGCAACTGGTAGTTCCTACATCTTCTCATTCCCTCTCTTGTGTCTATCTGTCTTGTTTGCTTCCCTTTTGTTCACCCAGCCCCCCCCCCCTCCCAATTCCCCCACGGGCACGCATTTGTCAGTCGGTATCAAGCTGGGCGTCGGAGCAAATGGACATGGTTCGAATTTCCAACAGGACTTTCTGAACGGGTCATTTTAAAGACTCACAGAAGTTAAATTTAAAAATCGCACCTCTTAAATAATATTGCAATAAGCGTACATGATGTTTATAGTGTCGAATTTTTCTTTCCTAGCACCAAACGACAGTGCTGATGTGCTTCAGTTTACTTTACTTTACTTTACTTTACTTTACTTTACTTTACTTTACTTTACTTTACTTTACTTTACACTACTCTACTTTACTTTACTTTACTTTACTTTACTTTACTTTACTTTACTTTACTTTACTTTACTTTACTTTACTTTACTCTACTTTACTCTACTCTACTTTACTTTACTCTACTTTACTTTACTTTACTTTACTTTACTTTACTTTACTTTACTTTACTTTACTCTACTCTACTCTACTTTACTTTACTTTACTTTACTTTACTTTACTTTACTTTACTCTACTCTACTCTACTTTACTTTACTTTACTTTACTTTACTTTACTTTACTTTACTCTACTCTACTCTACTCTACTCTACTCTACTCTACTCTACTTTACTTTACTTTACTTTACTTTACTTTACTTTACTTAATCCTTCCTCTGGTATCGTTAGATGTATGAGGGGATGTACAATTTTCGACCAAGGACTAGCTGGGTGGCTTCTTGAATCCGGGTTCTTTTGTTGATATGTTATTCTTTTGGAGGACCTATTTATCACCATCCAGCCAAGTTTTGCGTGATCTGCCCCTGCCATTGTATCTTGACCTTTTTAGTTGTAAGCTCGTGCAACTGATTGATTCGGTGATATTTTGATCCGACGAGAATGGTGAAATTGCATAGGTTTGACGAACCTATCAACATTATTAGGTTATTTATTAGATGAGAACTCCTAGTTTAGCGTCCATCTCCGAAAGGACCGAGCCAAATGAGAAATTCGAGTAAAGTGCCTTTCCCCAAGGATACAACGTCTGACCGAGCTGAGGCTCGAACCCCTGAACCCGCAATCTCACGGTACGAGTCTGATAGCCTAACCACTAAACCACTTACGCCTCCTGATCAGATGGCCGAACCTCTTAATTCTTTGATGCTCTTTGTGTTCTAAAACCAGTTTCATCCCTGTTGAATTTCGGACAGTTTCGCTCATTATGCAGTTTTTTCTAGTGACGTTATTAAATTTAATTTAATTTTCTGAAGCATTCTGTCTCTCTGGCAATGATCTCCCCTCCCCCTCTAAACAACAATTGACCAAAGCGTTTCCCTGACTCTGTGTGACTTTCCAGGTTTGTGGAGTCTCAGAACGAGCCCAGCAGCGACCCCGTGGTCCTGTGGCTCAATGGCGGGCCCGGATGTAGCTCTCTCTTTGGCCTCCTTCAGGAAAACGGCCCGTTTAGGGTACAGCCGGACGGCAAGACGCTGGTGGCCAACCCGTCTAGCTGGAACACTCTCACCAACGTTATCTACCTAGAGGCCCCGGCCGGAGTCGGCTATTCCTACTCCAAAGACAAAGATTATAGGACGGACGACGACGACACTTCTCTAAATAACTTAGTGGCCATGGTCGATTTCTTTAGGAAGTTTCCAGAATACAAGAAGAACGACTTTTATATCACTGGCGAGAGTTATGGAGGAATCTACGTACCGCTCCTGGCGTTGAGAGTGGTTGAGAACACAACGATCAACCTTAAGGGCTTTGCTGTCGGTAACGGGTTATCTGATGTGAAGCTGAATGATAATTCGGTTAATTTCCTCACCTACTACCACGGCATCGTGGGGTCGGAACTGTGGGATAAAACGCTAAAGGATTGCTGCAAGGGTCTTCCCAATGACAAATGTGACTTTGACAAGCAAAGGAAAGTTGACAAGGACTGCCAAAATGATATATCAGAGATCCAAAAAGCCATGTGGGAATCAGGCCTGGACTCGTATAACATCTACGCCAAAACTGTCGGGGGTGTGAGGACAACAAGCCAGTTTAGCATTTCGTCAAGACGGGACTGGTGGCCACTTTTAGGGGACAAGGACAACAGTTATCAAGGAACCACACATTCCTTCTCAGATGACGATCCGATCGTCAGGTATTTGAATAGGGCAGACGTGAAGAAAGCTCTTCATATTCCACCTGGTCTTCCAAAGTGGAATGTTTGTAGCTCCGTGCCATATAAACAAATCTATGACACGATGAAGGACATATATCAGATGCTGCACGGAATGATGCGTATAATGGTGTACAACGGAGACCTTGATATGGTGTGCAACTATCTCGGAGACGAATGGTTTGTGGAATCTCTCGGTTTTGCAAAAGCTGGAGCAAGGAAGCATTGGTTGTATCCTGACTCAGACAGCACAAAGCAAGTCGGAGGTTTTAGACAGGACTACAGCGGTAACGTCAGACTGGTCACTGTGATGGATGCTGGTCACATGGTACCACAAGACCAACCAAGAAAAGCCTTGCAAATGTTCGCAGACTTTATCAAAAACAATTAAATAAATCATTAACAGTGTCTTTGATTAAGATGTTGGTCAACAAAAATAGTTACCAAGAGACCTCTTTTTTATCTGCTTCAATGTCTGCAGAGATGTAATAATGTATTAACATGTCAAATGCATTTTGGTGATGAAATTAAAAGCTTCTTTAACTTTACTTGAGTTTGTTTATGGGGTGGTTGGCTGTTACTCTGGTGTGGTTCATTCCCTTTTTCCTTCTTTCTTATCAAGCATCTATCGACTTTATATTTTCTCCTTTTTTTCTTTGTATGTTACACTCTAGTAACATGTCTTACATTCGGCACTTAAATCTATATGTTCTATTTGTGTTCAGGGGCGAAGCGTCTTTCATGATAAAATAATCGCTGCTTTCCTTCCTTGATTTGGAAACAGCATCGCAGTCAAATTTACCCATAGTCGTAGGCCGTATCAATCTAAAAAGACCTTGTGTGTCATCCTATCTAAATGGCTTTTTGTCTCACTTTGATTACCATGTCAAACAAAACGATCTTCGCCAGTGAAAGAGATTTATTTCTTTTTCAAAATAATTAGGTGTACAGTTTTTTAAATCTTTTTGTTCGTCGGTGCTTTTCCCGTCCCTGTCGGTGTTCTGCTACAGCTCTCTGTCTGTCTGTCTGTCTGTCTGTCTGTCTGTCTGTCTGTCTGTCTGTCTGTCTGTCTGTCTGTCTGTCTGTCTGTCTGTCTGTCTGTCTCTCTCTCTCTCTCTCTCTCTCTCTCTCTCTCTCTCTCTCTCTCTCTCTCTCTCATCTCTCTCCTCTATCTCCCCCCGGTGTGTGTTTATGTGTGTGTGTGTGTGTGTGTGTGTGTGTGTGTGTGTGTGTGTATTTGTCTTTCTGTCTCTCTTTCCCTTTGTCCCTTCCCTCTCTCTACTCCCCTCTACCCTCCCCCTCTCTCTTTCCCTCACCCTCTCTTTCGTTCTCTTTCCCCTTATCTCTCTTTCATTTTGCTTTTCATTTTATTTTATAAAATTGTATCATCCACATGTCTTTTTTCATACATCAAAGAGGCACTCGAACATTAAACTATTCTTTAACATTTTTAACGTCACATCTCATATTAAAGGCAATATCTTGATTAATACTTAACGAATCTGTCTGAAATTCTCAGATAAGACAGTGCATTCATTTTACAGCAAGGGAAACACGTGGGATGCAAAGTTAAGTATTTTTTTAATCTTCTATTTTGAACTTATAGTTGTTAGGGGTCAAAATGAAAAGTGACAGCTTTCAACAACGTGTGATGGACATCTGGCGTTGTCACATCTTCACATCGCCGATGCATGGATGAGATGAATCGAGGTATTATCTATTGAGTGATAATATCCCACTCTTCAATTAAGGCTTAATCTAACTGAGCAATGGGTACGGGGCTGGCGTGGTGTTGCACTGATGTCGCGATCTAAAATGTCCCGCAAATGCTCAATGGGATGGAAATTTGGTTAAATGCGCTGGTCATGGGTGAGGGGAGGAATGTTGCTAGTTTTCAGAAATTGATTAGTCACACCAGCCTTATGAGCAGGTGCATTATCATACAAGGATACTTGTCCATGGGCTTGATTTTGAAAGGAAAGTACTTTGGGCTCGAGAACTGGGTTGATTTAGCCTTGGCCATCACACGCGATGCAGTGCTCAGTGATGTTTGTGCTGGATGCGATGGGGCTGCAGTTTAATGCGGCAAACTAGGCTCTTTAGCACGAAGGTTCCTATGTTTCAAACGAAAAAGAACAGTCATGATTAAGATAGGACTGTCATTTCTTAGTCCTTTGGACTCATCCTCGGCCTTTGTTCGACGGTTGAAATTGATTTCTGAAGCGTTGCGTTAGGATGAATTAGTCCACCCTCCATTTTGTCTTTCTGCGTTCTACTCGCTTGGGTTTGTCCTTTTGTGAGCCTATCGTCTCCATATGATCCCGTGTGGCATACACAGTGTGTCTGTTCACGTTGAACCTTCTCGCGACCAACGATAGCGGAGGGCTCACCTGAAGCATTTCAATGATGTGATTTCTTTCTGATTCATTCAGCCGAAGCAGGGTGAATCGAAAAAGAAAAGCCACTTTTAAATGAAGCGAAAAAGGTGGAAGGAGTCCAACTTTGTGAGTGTAGTTTTTGTTTTCAAAGTTACCCACATATTTTCACAGTATTTGACAAAATTCAAAACCATTTGAATGACATCGTCAGACAAAACGATAGACCAGTGCACGCTAGTGAGTACAGTTCACGGACGACAATGAGCTTACGTGACATTGCAACAATTTCAAATCAATTGAATATGCAGTTTTTGAGCTACACGCTTTTAAAATGTGTGAAGTTCAAAATGTTAAGGAGTATATTCCTCTCAGCATGAAGGTGGCAAGGGGCATAACTTTGAGAAGTATTGATAACAAAATGCCATTTTACTGAGTTGCCTTCCTTACCACCTTTCAATGTCCATCAAATATTGTATAATTGAAAACCCATTTGAATTCTACATTATTGCACAGCATTTATTTATAATGTAAATACAGACTGTTTAAAAGGTGGTTGCTTTAGTCGTTAGAGCTGGGGATCTTTGGTCGCTTTTAAGCACAAGGGGACTATCCCGAAAAAATGCTGTCGTGAGAAAATCGAAGGTAAAGTTTTTGGATCCCTATTCAGTTTCTTTAAAAGACAAGGAGAGTTTTCTCTATAACCAAACAAATATACAAAGCAATGAAGCCAAACTTCTCCTGTAGGCAGGGCAGTGCCCACTTTTGGTACAGCTCAAGATTTGTGGAAACCCCCGAAATCTGGGTTAGCCCGCTTGTCCTTAAAGGCGACCAGACCATTTGTGCGTTCAAAATTACCCCTCACAACCAAAGAACAACTCATTGTGTGTCGGATATTGAAGGCTGTCTGATCGCCATGAAATTATGTCGGACCTGATACTGAAAAGTACATTCACAGAGCTGTGGTCTAAGATACTTAAGAAAAGACATGAATTGTTTGATGTGAGTTTTAACCTCTTTCAACACAAAAGCGATTATTTGAGAGAAAAAGAGTAAAGGTGATTACAGACACTTCCCTTCGTAAAGTAATGAAAACTTTTCGGAAGAGCGTAGTTGTTGATTTGTAAGCCTGAATGATAATGATAAATACCAAAATGCTATTATTATCACACCATCACGAGACACTCTCTGCAGTGGAACCCACAGGGAGCACGAGGCTGGGGTAGGCCGCCACGGAAAACACGGAGGAGATGTGTGGAAAGGGACATGAGAGAGATGAGCCTCACTTGGAACGAGCTTGGAAGGATGACTCAGAACAGAGATACATGGAAGGAGCTTGTTAGTAGCCTATACCCTGTCATGCGTGGAAGGAAGGCATTGATGATGACGACGATGATGATGATGATGATGATGATGATGATGATGATGATGATGATGATGATGATGGTGATGATGATGATGATGGTGATGATGGTGATGATGATGATATTGATTACCTTGTGGGGGAAAAGAGGGGCACTAACGAAGGAACACGGTCCACATGACAAGTGACAGGTGACAGATGACAGCTGACAGATGACAGGTGATACGTGGCAAGTGACAGATGGCAGATGACAGATAGAAGATGACAGGTGGAAGATGAGAGGTGGCAGATGGCAGGTGATAGGTGGCAGATGATAGGTGATATGTGACAAGTGGCAGGTGGCAGATTACAGATGACTGGTGGCATGTGACAGATGACAGGTGACAGATGACAGGTGACAGATGATAGGTGACATATATGACAGGTGACAGATGATAGGTGATATGCGACAAGTGAAAGAGGTGGCAAACTACAGGTGACATATGACAGGTGACATATGACAGGTGACAGACGACAGGTGACAGATGACAGGTGACAGATGACAGGTGACAGATGACCGGTGACAGATAACAGGTGACATATTATGGTAGATGACAGATGACAGGTGACAGATGATTGCCTTATTGTATGCAGTTTCATTTCACTAAATAAATGACCAATGAAGGTGTCGATCGGTAAGTAAAGATGGGGTTTAGGGGGGGAGAAAAATGGATGTCTAGGACAGGCTGACGTCAAACATATTATCATTGTAATGTCACCGCCTCCCCCGAAAAAATACAACAAAAAAACCCAAACCAAAACAACAACAACAATAACAACAACAACAGCAACAACAACAACAACAACAACAACAACAACAGCAACAACAACAACAACAACAGTAACAACAACAACAACAACAACAACAACAACAACAACAGTAACAACAACAACAACAACAACAACAACAATAACAACAACAACAGCAACAACAACAACAACAACAACAACAACAGTAACAACAACAACAACAACAACAGCAGTAACAATATACAAACCAACCAAACAAGCAAAAAAAGCGACAACAAAAAACCAACAAAAAAACCAACAAAAAAACAAACAAACAAAACCCACCAACAAAAGCAAGGCAAAGGGGAAATGTTTAGTGGACATAATTTGTTTAGGTGATTGTCTTACACAGGTGTTCTTTAGAGCAGGTACATTACTGTACTGTGTTTGTTCCATCACTGTAGACCTACGATTGTCGACGTCATTGATCCTCTTTGAAAATAACCTGTCATGGTCGTGTAATTCAACACCCCCGTCCGCTCCCCCCCCCCTAAAAACCCCCAACAAAAACAAACAAACAAAAACACACAGACAAAGAAAAAAAACAAAAGCAAAAACCTAAAAAAACAACAAAAACAAAAACAACCCCCCCCCCACACACACACACGTCATATAAAGAAATTACAAAATAAAGAAAATAAAGAGGGAAAGAAAATGAAAATCAAAACAAACAAACAAGCAGACAAACATATAAAAATATATTTTAAAAAGCAAAAACACAAATAAAAAAAAACAAACAAAAAGACTACACCGCCCCCCCCACCCTTCCCACCCAC